AGCTCATCTGTTCGAATCTGTCTGTTTAACCTGCTTATTACATGTTCAAACTATTCAGCCTCTGTCTTTGTCCTCCCTCTTCGTCTGTCTCTGTCCGCCTGTCTCTGTCCGTCCGTCGTCCTGACCCCTTCCCCTGTCCCCTGCCTTGTCATGATAGAGGACCCTAGGCCAGTCACTTCCTCACTGGCGCCCCCTTTTGGGGGAGCTGTGCCGTTCTCTCTTGTCTGCTGGCACCGAGTTTACAGCATCTCCTTTAATGACACCTGCAGGAGTTCAGAGGTAAAATTGCCAGGCAGATGAGCCCCGGGCGATGAGCACCAGCCCCTCGCATGAACTACTGATTTCATCTCAGATTCCCTCCCCCCCCCCTCGACGCGTTATTCGCGCATGCAGGCTTCCAGCATGACTGTGAGTTCGGCTGGCTGTGATAATAGCTGTTTATCGTGAGTGAATCTGCGTCAGCCAAACCTCAGATGATAAGAATCCCCATCCTGGCATGCAGCCTCTTCACCGATCTGTGTATTTTACACCTTAAATCAAAAAGCACAAGCTCAGAGCAGCTATTTATCTGTGTTCCTGGGTCCACAACTGAATCTGCAAGGTCACTCGCAGTGTTAACATCCAGGCCGAAATAAAATCCCAGGTTGATGCTTGGCTGCATCACGCAGATCGACACTACTGACAGGGTACATGAATTTAGGAGGAAGAAGAGGCTCGATGGAAACGGTGTTTCTGGAATTTACCTCAGATTCATAACGGGGACTGTCTATAGCAGTGGCTGCCAATGCGTTGGCCGTGAGCTTGCAGTTACCCACAGGGAGCCAATGATTAGCCAGCATAACATTTATTAGAAATCAGGCTTCTTTTTTTGTACGTCATGTATAATCCCAGAGCTCCCAGCTGTTACTGTCCCCACCCCACCCACCAAGATTCCATTCTGTGTAAAAGTAGGTTGGAGACCCCTGGTCTATATTATACCTACGAGACAGTAAAGGCCATCTATGTACTAGGTTCACGCACACACAGACATGATTTGTAATTATATCTTTGTGGGGACTCTCCATTCATTTCTATGGGGAAAACTCTAATCCCAACATGGCAACCTTAAAACTACCCAGCCCTAACCTTAACCACGAGTAAGCAAACAAAATACGAGACATTTTAGGTTCCTTGATTGCATTCGCAGATCTTTGTGAGTACCTGAAAAATGGTCCCCAAAATGTTTTATCACATTGTGGAGAACAATTGGTTCCCACGATGTAATATAAACATAATCCACACACACACACACACAAAGGGTGAAGAAATGTTTAGGGAAGACATTTTACTTCATAACTCCCTTATATAGACGTCTCCTATTCCCCGTCGCTGGCTTATGTAAGTCTGTGCCTGTTCTTTGTTATTCCTTATGAGTATTTCCTCTTCTAATGACAGAATGAATAACTGACAGCTTTGACAAGCCCCCATAACTGCCGGATTCATCTGTTTTACTCGTCTCCCGCCCACTAGAACCAGCTGTCAGGCAATTTGCTGAGGAAATTCAAGAACAGCAATGGCTGGCAGAAGCTGTGGGTGGTCTTCACCAACTTCAGCCTGTTCTTCTACAAGACGCACCAGGTGAGGCGAACGCCGTTGAGGTGCGAGCTCGTCATAGTGGGATAGGCCAGGAAGGGGTCAGGGGTCACACAGTTTGCTCTCCTGACCTGTGATTGTTTATGGATTAGATAAATGTTTCCTTTAACACTCAAATCAGAGCATTCACTGACAGCAGCATGTGCTTGAACGGCATAGCAAGAATAAATAAATGTATTGGTTTGTGTCAATACTTCACTGTTTTGTGTCAATACTTCACTGTTTTGTGTCAGAACTTCACTGTTTTGTGTCAGTACTTCAATGTTGCCTGAGGTTGTAGAATCTGGTGGTGCCTCTTTCCCAAACTGTTTTTATTGTCATATGTTCACGTGTTCCGACAGTTTTCCATCAGGAGATGCAGTTCAGAGTCATTCATTGTTACGAATGCGAGAAACTGCAGCAGGGTTTCGGTCGGTATAATCCAACCCCTTCTTTCCGTAGGATAATTACCCCCTGGCCAGCCTGCCCCTGCTGGGCTACTCCGTCACCATCCCCTCCGAGTCGGAGAACATCCACAAGGACTACGTCTTCAAGTTGCATTTCAAATCCCATGTCTACTACTTCCGATCCGAGAGCGAGTACACGTTTGAGAGGTACTTCATGCTGCCGTCTGAATCCAAATGGCCGCCCTCTCAAAATGTGTTAACAAAGTAACAAAAAAGTCCAGAAAATCCCTCTCTCTTCCTGCTCTTGCTATTTTTGGCTCACTGTCTCATTACCTCTTACCATTTATGCTTCAAATGAAGGGCAAACTTGTTATACGCTGAGAAATGGGTGATTGAGGCAGGCGTGGAGGATATTTTAAGCCCTAATTGCCTCCATGTTTCCAGTGTCCCTCTCCCCCCCCCTGGCAGGGCGAGTGAGCCACCGTGTCTCCTCATCACAGCCTGGAGGAGCAAGCTAATGACAGCCGGTCCTCAGAGACTCAGCCGGTGACACATAAATCGGCCATTTTAATTAGCCCTCGCCTTTTATTCGTCCCGAGTCTCAAAATGAATTGTGGGAAATTGAAGCCGATAGTTGCAGCTGCATATCTGGAGGAATGAAGACGGGGGGGAAACCGTCAGCGTCCCCATCAGACAACAAAACCATGACACGTCTGACACTCTGCTTTGGTGTCCTTTCGGATTCTCACTTATCAGACTGACCATTGAAAACCCTGGTCTGTCAGAGGTCCAGGCATGTTGCTTTTCAGTCTAACTCGGCTCTTAATAGCTATGGTGATGCCATTATCAGGATATGTTTTAAGTTCACTTGTGGCTCCAGATATAAATCAGATGTAAACACACTTGCATCCAGGAACCTCCTGAAACGGAGCCCCTGCATCAAAGGCTGGTCCCTGAAAAAAAATATACTTCGGGTTCACAGTGAACTTTGATGCGTATGGGTTTGTTCAGGACTAACACCCTCTCATGTTCAGGCAGGTGTTCTCTGATCTAGATCTATCCTCAGGAACTTGGGGTCACGGGATGACGGTTCCATACCTGTGATGTACACCAATGCCATCAGCGTGTCTGACTCCCTGTCCGTTCCCCGCAGGTGGATGGAGGTCATCCGCAGTGCCACCACCAGCTCCAGCCGTAGCCATGCAGTGACTCGGAAGGAGCTCCACCTCTATTGATCCAAAGGCCACGCCCACTCACCCTTTTATGGTCAAACCAATTCCTTATCCTCAACACATCGCACCACTTTGTGGCATCAACTTTATTTCTGTTCTTTGCAGTGTTTGATACTCTTTTTTTAATACTTTTTATTTAGAAAAGGAAAATGAAGAGTCGTGTGCGTCCCACAGCACTGGTGCTCTTTAAAGGCTGTGCGTACACTGGCTGTCTGTGATATGAGGCTCTTACGCTGCCTTTTGTAGGATTGAATTTTTTTATACAGTTTTTTAAGATTTTGTGAACCACTTTCTGATTTTTACATGTTTTGCATTTTATTAATTGTTTTTTTTTTTTTAAATACAGACATTAATTTTAATTATTTTTTTTTTCAAATGGATGGCTTTCATTTCAGATGTGGCATAGAGTAAATGTAATTAAAACTCTGCTTGTTATTTTCTTTTGAGAGAAAAGGCTGCTTTTAAAACTGCTTGAGTGAATATCGATTCTTACCAATGTCTTTATACATTTTACTATGTTACTGGTTGGATTCAGAGCAATGGCTGCTGGGGAGTCTGTGTACGTACTTAAAGGGAATGTGTATGTGTCTGAGAGAGCATATGTAATTAATTACAGAGTAAGATGTCCCTAAAAAAAACTTCATTATTGAACACAATGCTAGTGAGATGTTACTGTATATTTTAAGAGAATGTTATCCATTTATATATAAGACATGCTTTTAAGGCCAATGATGTTTTGGGTGGCATTGTTAGTTTTGTGGAAGTATAAAGCAAATTCTATTCCGATTGGGTAAATATTATCAATTATATATTCAAACCCTTAGGTCAGATGTATATAACATTGTTACTTGTTAATTATGTATACTTTATTACATGCAAATCCTGGAATGGATAGTTTTAACAGAAAATTGTATTAAGTACATTTGCAGAACGTTGTGGTCTGTGGATCCTATGACCCATTCAGAGGCCAGGCTTTTGTACCATATTACAAGTCCTTCCCCTGATCAAATGAGTGCATACTGAAGTGTTGGTGTAGTGTGGTGTGGACAGGAACATCAGCTGTAACAAGATTAAATGCTTTATTTTCCTCAGAAAGCTGAGAGCTCTATGGAAATGAAAGCAATAAAACAAAATGTGACTATGTGTTTGTGTGTTGCTTTTGCTATGCTGTTTAAAGTCTTCTGTATATTATTAATTAAAATATACTGTAGTGATCGCTGGATGACTCTTGACACAGATAGGTGTGCTGCTTTCACTGGTGAGTTCACAACCTGCCCCAACAGAGCCCTTACAATATCTGCACCTTTTTTGAACCTGTGGTGTAGTGTTGTAATTCATAGCACTGGAATAAGTGTCATTCAGCATATCGTGTTGAAAGCAGAGGTAGGTAGCTCAGGTCCAGAAAGTAAAAAATCCAGACCAAGACTTTGTTTCAACCAGCCAGTTCAGTACTCTGTGACTGAGACTCTTTATACTCAACTGGTGGGTTGAAACAAACTCTTGGTCTGGATTTTTACTTTCTGAACCTGAACTATCCCCCCTCTGGCTACTACATTTAAATGCCATTACTCTAGTGGGTAGAGCCAATGTTTTACTTTACGTTCCTGATTTTGTATTGGCCTGATTTAATCCCTTTGTTTTTGAATTCTCCTAGGATACTCCTAGAAGTGCTTGGCTTCAAAATATACTACATGTAATTCCAATCTTTGCCAATAGGTGGAGCAACAGTTTTGTAAATTGAATTTCGGCATTTCCTTCCTAAGGAAGTATTCTGTTTTTTAACAGCATATACATGTGATGTATCATTAACGTGAAATACTCCTGCAGCATAAGAGGCCATCACACTAAAACCACTCACAGGTAAAGTGAATAACATTGCTTATCTCATTACAATGGCACCGGTCAAGGGTGCCATTATATAGGAGACAAGTGATCAGTCAGTTCTTGAAGTTGATATGTTGGAAGCAGGAAAAATGGGCAAGCTGAATTGTGATGGCTAGATGCCTGGTTCAGAGCATTTCTAAAATGACAGGTCTTGTGAGGTGTTCCCAGAATGCAATGGGCAGGACCAACCAAGACGGGTCCAAGGAAGAACAACCGGATGTGCATGGGGAGCGAAGGCTAGGCTGTCTGGTCCAATCCCACAGGAGAGCTACTGTAGCACAAATTGCTGTAAAAGTTAATGCTGTCTATGATGGAAAGGTGTCAGAAAACACAGTGCATCTCAACGTATGGGGCTGCATAGCTGCAGACTGGTCAGACAGCAGCAGACCAGTCAGAGTGCCCATGCTGACCCCTGCTCACCACTGAAAGTGCCCACAATGGGCACATGAGTGTCAGACCTGGACCATGGAGCAATGGAAGAAGGCGTGAAGAAGACAAGATGGCCTACATAATCATTATTGCAGACCAACTACACCCCTTCATGGCAACGGTATTCCCTGATGGCAGCAGTCTCCCTTGGCAGGATAATGTGCCCTGCCACACTGCAAACATTGTTCGGGAATGGGTTGAGGAACATAAAAAAGAGCTCAAGGTGTTGACTTGGCCACCAAAATCGAGCATCTGTGGGATGTTCTGGACAAACGAGACCGATCCATGGATGCCCAACCTTGCAACTTACAGGACTTAAAGGATCTGCTGCTAATGTCTTGGTGCCAGATACCACAGGACACCTTCAGAGGTCTTGTGGAGTCCATGCCTCAATGGGTCAGAGCTGTTTCTGTGGTATGAGGGGGTCTGCAGAATATTAGGAAGGTGGTTTTAATGTTATGGCTGATCAGTATATTCTCAAGCCAGGTTTTGATGCAAAGTCCACCACATGTAAGTTCACTTTCAGTAAAAACCTAAGAGCACAAGGAAGTTTTACATGACTAAACTGAAAAAGTGCCTGTTTAATAATGGCAAATCTGCTGATACGAACTGCCAGAGTTCTGCTGATATGAAAGATGAGAGTTCAAAGATTAAATTAATTTCCATTTATGGGAAATATGTTTGTATTAAATGCACTTCCAAATACACCTGAACCAACATCTACAAGAGGCTTGGTCCCATATGCAAATTTGTCACCAGGGACAGCCGTGTCTAGGATATGTGGTACAGAGACTGAGAGCAAATGGTTTCTTCATTTGTAATTTGACCGTGTGCCGAGGGATTTTAAGATTTCAAAATTTTGCCCAGAAGTTCACACTTGGGGGAGACTGGCTAGGTGACTGAACCTCGGTGTTAAAATCTGTGCAGATGTATGCTATTCGAGAAATAGGGGAAGGTTTGTAGGTCGGATATTTTGCTTCGTCTATATATTCAATTTTATACTACAATTAATTCGGAGGGTAAACCTGTATATTAACTCCACTGTGTCAGTAAAAATGCACCGAAATGTTGACTAAACAGCTGTATGTGTTTCCACTTGCCTGACATGCTGAACATGTTACACATGTTTTACACATCAGCCGTGTTAGTTATTTTCAGATGCTATTATGCTCCGTTGCGTAGGTATCTCCAATTTGGATTATATAGCTGTTGGCAGGTGGATTGGATTTCCCCATGCTAGGCTACTTTTTAGGCATTGGTTCCAACATATGCTTATGAAGTTGATCTGTCCAGCACTGATTTACAAATTATGTCCCATAATTATAAAAAAAACAGCCACAGTGACTCAACACGAGGTGCAACAAGTAGGGATCTTTCGCTTTCTTTTTTTTTTATAGTCCCATGAAAATCACGCGTGATTTCCCCCCAGAAATTTCCGTCGGCACGCTAGGTGAATTCTGCGATGAGATGACTGAGATGTTGGTATCGCGGGGGAGTTTAGGGAAGCGTTGGGTCTAGATGTGGATTTGGGTGAAGCTCGGTTTGATTTAGATCAGGAGGAGTGGCGAGTTGCTTGCCCAGAGAGCTGGCGCAGCATGGAGAACCGGGACAGATCCGTATAAGACGGTGACAGCGCACCGGGACAGCCTGTTATGAGAGCTGTAACGCAGAGTGTATATATACACATAAGGCTAAACGTTACAGGACAGACTATTCTAAAATGCAAGGGATTAGTAAAGAGAGAGGCTTCTTACTGCGCTTAAGATGATTCTGTTTCAGAGTCACGGAGCACTCGGTTTATAGGGGATAACGGGAAGAAAAGCCGGCTGATGGTTTCTATTGGGACCTCTGCACCTTTCCGCAGATTCTCTTACTCCTTGGATATAAGTTGATGAAAGGCTCTTTTCGGCGATGTCTCACACAGCCCACTCGGAAACTAGGAAGTTCACCCGGGGTCTTAGCAAACCGGGGACCGCGGCCGAGCTGAGGCAGAGCGTCTCCGAGGTGGTCAGGACGTCTGCGATCGCGGTGAGTAAAGTCCATTCATTTCGCATTGCTTTCACTGTATTTTTAAGTGCGTTTCCATCGCGTCTCAGCCGCGGATACGCTTTGGGAAAGGAGTTAATTTGCATGGCGTCACACCTCGTATCTGAAAGCATTTATAGGTTAACTTGCTGCTTGCTGTTAAGGGGAGTTTTCGCCCAAGGAGTGAGTGAACTTTGGAAATCTTCCCCCAAGAGTCCGTATCGGCGACATGCATCGCCGCGACCTCCAGATGACGCAGCTCCCGACTGCAATCGCGATATATTTCAGATGAGGGCGGCTGCGGCTGCCGATCGAAGCCTTGCCGCTTAGTGGGCCGGCATCGCCTTGGCTTAGTGGTATGCGAGCGGCTATATCAGATCAGTATGGGATCTGCACGCCGGAACGGGAGGCTCCGGGCTGGCGGGGTCTCAATTACCGACAGACGCAGAACTGAAAGGCGATGATACGGTGTTGCTGAAAGCTCTGAAGTTTGCATCTGAGTTTGAGTAACAGCAACACTAAGTGCTCCAGGACATGGGAGCAAAGCCTTCGTGTGGTGAATGTTTTATTTCAAAAAATAAATTAAGAAAAGCAATTAATTATCTCAGAAACATGCAAATTGATATAGGCGTGTTAATCGTCACCTCTGAGGGATTATTTTAAGACTTACCTAGTTAGGACTGGGTGATGATATTCACGGAAGCGAAGGATGTCATGGGGTAGCTTCAGTTTGCTGAGCCCCGGATATTTCAGAACTGACATTGTCCATTTTCTACTGTTTTACTTAAGAAGGAAGTAGAAGAAGGAAAGACGCATCAAGTTATGTCTTTGTATTTATTAACACTGCATATCAGGATTTCTTGCTCAGCCGGAGAAAATTGGAGTGTACCCAGAGGAAATCCCCCACAAATATGGAGAGAATATGCAGATTGCACATATGTAGACCTGGGGCTGGGATTTGAACCCCTCCAGTTCTGGTGGGGATATCAGAATGAGGTTTGTTGGCCATGCAAGTTCATACTTACAGGACGTCTGGCTCGTCATGGGTCTAATAGTGACGTAGCTGGGTAAGTGTGATGTGGCATTACACCCCACTGAGCCGTCCTACCTACCTTTAATCTACTGACACCTCAAGGAGGACCATGTCCTACGTGCCACTCCAGAGTGAAGCCTGGTGTGAAAAAGGCCATTAATCTTGTAGGTGACGTGGTGACGTCCAGCTGAGCAAGAGTATTGTCTCTCAGGCACATACAGCTTAGGAGTAGTGGTCGTCTCTTAGTGCACTCTGACACGAATAGATGTCCTAGATAGTTTTTCTCAGAGGATGCACTTGTGTGATTGCTTTGTCCCAAGCATCTGAATTACCACAGAGAATTTTATGGGTAAAAGTAGATCTAGACACTGAAAGGCCAGTAGGTGGAAAAAGGGGATGTGTGGAACGTAGGCAAACATCATGTGTCTTGGTTATGGACCTGTATGGTTGACTGTGATCCCTTAGTTAACCCTTCAGGTTTGAAGTCCAAAGCCCTGACTCCCCCCATAACAAATAGTATCTGTCACCTGCGTCACATTCAGTTCTAAAAAATCAGTTTGAGGTTGTTGGGATGCATCTGTTCTGTGTTTAGCTGTAGATTTAGGCTGTGAAGTGAGTTGAGCTCTTGGCCATACCCACATCCCGTGAGTAAGAATCGTTCCTGTGTCCCGCGGAAGGTCAGATTACCATGATGTGTGTCAAGTGTCGGGCGTGAGTTGCAGCTTCAGTGCTCTTGAACCCGGGTCATCCCGTTGGCCCGCATTGGTAGCAAAACTCTTCTGTAGGCGATCCTGGTTCTTGTGGTTCTCAGTCTGGTTCTCAGGGACCTTCAGACAGTCCATGTTTTTGCTTCCTCCCAGTTGTGGACTGTCTGGCAGGGAATTGGGAGGGAGCAAAAACATGGACTGTCTATGGGTCTCTGAGGACCGGATTGAGAAACACTGATCTGTTTCTTCTTGTAGCTCTGCTATTGCCCCTCCTCTTTTGAGTTTTTTAAGGCTTTATGAAATGCAGATTTAGTGGCAAAATCAGTTATAACATTTAGACACAACTTAGTGATGGGAGGGATGAGGTGTGAAACCTGCAATTCATGAAATTTTCCAGTTGTAACACACTTTCCGTTGGTTGCTTTACTGGTTCCCAGTGGTAATGACAGTGATTGACAGCCGTGGTGAGTCCCACCCACTATGGGTTTCTCAGGTTCATTTCTCACATTGCTAGGTGATCCACTGATGAATGGATGGAAATGGCTCACAGAGGGAGTCAAAGAAGAACGAGGGGTCAGTTTTGGGCCAGCTGCACAACTGCAGTCAATAATGCATGTTACATTTCAACCAGCGGCTCCCTACCCAGAATCCAGTTCACCATGCCCTGACCATTCCTCTGTTTGTGCAGACAGCGGGGATAAAGGGCAGTCGCTGGCAGGAATGAGACCCACGCCATTGGGAGTTTATTTCTGTGAAAGGTTTTGCATCATGTGACCGGAGGGTAAAATGTTCCGGTCCCTTCTTCTGAGTTCCGTGGGGTGCCACGAAGGCCCAGTGGTTGGCATCGAGATGCTGAGAACTGAGAAGCATGCAAATACGAAGTCGTTTGACCCCATGTAGCTCTCCTGCAGTTCCTCGTTGATGCTGTTTTTGACAGTTGACTTGTGGTTTTACCTCTAATATAGGCCTAACCTCTGAATCATCTATACAGCCTTCAGGAATATGTTGATTGACACCATGGTCATTCCAGACATGTTAATGACATGGTGAGCAGGGCTGGCTGTTGAGAAACAACACTTGGAAACATGTCAATCAACGTTTCATAAGGATGATGACTCAATTACACGATGGTTAAACCAGTCAGTGACTGACAGCGTACAGTAATCCTGTCCACTATGGGTTTCTGAACCCTGTTCATCTCATCACTAATGCTAAGCAATAAAGCTAAAAAAAAAGAATAAAGTCTGAATGAAAGTACTTTATTAGGGGTGAGCATAGAGGTATAATTAGTATGAAAAATGAAATACTAATTGGACCAGTTGTCCTAGGGGATTGGCTAAAGTGGGAACTGATAAACTGGTCCAGCTGGGAATGGGCCGTAGCACTTTGCAAAATCGTGGTCATGGGAAAAGTGTCTTCCGGAATATGTGTGCAGACAGCCTCTGAGTTTATGTACACCTGCCATAGCAAGGTCTGAAGACCAAGGTCCCCATTTCGAAACCTTCGTCCCCAGCCCGCAGGGCTGCCGGTCTGGCCCGGTGCGGTCTGAGTCCGCTCTGTCTAGCACAGGAATGAAAGGAAAAAGGAGCAGAACCAGTTCTTTATCTGCCCGGCAGTCTGTCTTCTAGGTCTGCTATCGTACTTGCTTGATGAGGTACCAAACGACTGAGTCAAAGATTATTTGCATATGCATACCAAACGTGGAATTTCTGCAGGAGTACTCGCTTGGAACGTTCTTTCATGGACCGCAAGCAGCTGAGGGTCTGTCTGGTTTAATGAAATCGATGCTGATCTCATTTACAGCAGGGGAGCCTTATGACAGCCAGGGACTTAAAGGGAGTTTATTAAAGTCCCCGGAGAGGAAGCGCGGTCCGGAATGAGGCCTCGGTGTGCGGACCTGCCTGATGGCTCCTGTGGAGACAGGACATTGTGGACAGCTCCTTTCAGGTTATCTTGTGGGTTTCTCTCCATTTTTACCCAGGATTTCCTATTTGGGATTAAATAAAGTTTAGCTGTCCAGTGAGGTGCCTGATTGTCTGCCATCATTATTTATGGTTCAAGTGACCCTTAAATCACCTGCCGCAACCATAATGCTATTGTGCAGACTGAGCGTGTGGGAGAAAGTCACAAGACATGCAACATCAGCATAATTCGGAGTGTCCCCTCTGCCCTCACATGCTGCAAATCCCTCCAGGTCATCTGTCTGGTGCCCCCCCTCCCCCTCCCCATTCCCCAGCTCTTCATTGAGGCTCTCAGGCGACCCAGGTGTTGTAACTGAGACTGGGGGTGTGGCCATCAGGGCAGTGTGGGAGACCCAGGACCGGGGGCCATCTTCTCTGACCTCCTTCGTGCTCCCTGTGGATGGGGAGGTGCGGCCCCGTCTGCGGCTGCTCGGGCGAGCCGGGGCTTGCTCTGCGCACGGCAACGAGCCGCCGCTGCCTGCTGGGGGTGTTCAAAAGCCGCAGACCGTCAAGGATATTCCCGGCGCTGCGTGATTTACGACGGAGGGGGCCCGGCGTAACGTGAGGAGCGAGAGCCGCGCCCCCCTGGGCCGCTGTGGTTCAGCAGGAACCCGGAGCGCCGTTGGCTAATGGTCATACGAGATCCAGCCGCGGCCAAGGCTGCCCCGTCCAAAAACAACCCTGTTTACTCCTGTCCTCAGGCTGAACTGGAAATTCAAATACCAGAGATTCATTAGAATTTACAAACACACCCCCCCCCTTTTAAGCCAAAACACATAATTAGGCACGGGAGAAACCGCAAATGGGTCTGCCTCTCATTTTTTCTTTGTTATTAACATTACTAGCATCGCTGACTATCAGTTTTCTTCTGCTGTGGATGGTGGCCCATGCTTGGTGTGTGTACACACCTTGGTGCGTTTGGGCAGCTTGGGTTACAGAATCTCAGTTCTGGAGCTGCAGTGTTACCTGCCCAAAGCGTTGGTTCTGAAGGAAGTTGAGCTGCCCCACTGGTGGCATGTTTTTGATGGGCAAGTAGGGCCAGGAAGGAGAGCTGAATTATTACAGCCAAGTGAAAAGGCGGTCAGGGTCACCGGGGTCACGGGCCCAGTCCCCCCAGCTCTGGGATCAGACATGTTGACGTGTTAGGGAGTGGTGATGGGTGGAAGTGAAAGCAGGCCCACTCAGACTAGGGGAGTGTGTCAGTGAGGAAACCCTGTGTCATAACACCTATGCCTTTAGCTTTGGGCGTCTCTGTAGTGTCGGGTTTATTTTAAGTTCCTCGTGGTCGTGTCCAGCGGTATC